AGAGAGAGAGAGAGAGAGAGAGAGAGAGAGAGAGAGAGAGAGAGAGAGAGACCAGTAGACAGACAAATAGACTGGTAGACACATTGGAGAAGGTCGGAGGCAGAAGGTGGCAGGTGCAAATAGACACATAGACAGATAGTCATGTTGGAGGAGGCGGGAGGCGGGAGATGGAACAGGTGCAAATGGAGTCGACTATACCGATATAGACAGATAGACAGATAGGGAGTGAGTATATGCCCTGCCTGCCCTGATCAAGCCCTCTACTAATTAATGGCTGCATGACGTTCAATCAAAAGCTCTTACTAACTAACTGTTGAAGGTTAGCAGAATATGATTACAGCAACCGCAACAGAGCAAAGAAGGAGGTCACGGCTGTAGCGAGCACAATGCGGAACGACATCCCCCACCAATCCCCGGCCGAAAATTCGACGGTTGCTCCAGATTTCGCCATCATGACATTGGGCACAGTGCTATTGCCTTGAAGCTGGGAGACTTCCAGGACGGGCTGCACGATCTCGAGAGGCGTAGCCCCCTGCTGCACCGACAGGTTATAAGGACTATTGAGGATGTTCGGGCACGGCGCGCAAGAGTCTCCCGCCAAGGACTGGGACAGGTTGCAATCCTTATTACACCAAGCATAGACCCCTACAAAGTAGTGCCCCCCCTCTTGGCGAGTGTTGGGATCGTGAACCCTCAGGGTAATGTTGTTGCGCTTCAGCTGCGCTAGTCTCCACGCCCGGTCGCTTACAGTCGGGGCCCATCTAGACTTAGAAACTAACATCTCCGGCCACCAGTACGTCTCCGGGCAATCCATCGGGGAAACACAATTAGCAAGCATGACCACGACATCGCCAAGCGTCTTGTTACTTACACAGAAGTGATAGTAATGGTAGCCATTGGGCTCGCTGACGTACTGATTAATGATCATCTTGTTCATCATGTCGACGCTGGTAACATTGGGCCACCTGTACACGTGGCTGGATGAGAACGTCGCGACGATGGAGTATGTGGTGGCCGTGAGAGGAGTCGTACCCACCGGCGGCGAGCTGCTCGGCACGGAGCAATCTCCATGCACACCAATGAAGAACCAGCCAATGGTGAAATCCCTGTCGAAAGCCGACACTACCACACTCGACTTACCGTCTGATTGACTGCTTGCCCAGGTGCGGTCGAGGGCTGTGGGCATGTCAATGTAATCTTTGGACACGTAGATTCGCGGCAAACCGCATGTCGGACACGCTGGTGTGGCCTCGATCACGAGATCGAAGCAAGGATCGTCAACTTTGATGGCGAAGTAGTTGAGCTCCCCGCAGTTGGTTGATTGATTGGCCGGGACCTCTGCTGCCAGAACCATGGTCCCGGCTGAAGGCTTGGTAACGAGGCCCCGTTTCGGTGGACACAACGGAGGCGGTGTGGAATCGTAGCTCACGGAGAGATTGTAGACGGATTGAGCAGACGCGACGGCGCAGTTGGCAGGATCGGGATCGACACACCGACTCAAGACGCCGACGTAAAACACCCCGCCCTCATTATAAGGATCCTCCAGACCGATAGTCACTGACCGCTGTCCTCCCATCGTCTTCCACGTGTAATCTTCAACCTCCGGCCTCATGACACTGGTGGACACCAACACCTCCGGACAAAAGTTGACGCCAGGTTGGCAATCACTCACATTGACAGTGATTGGAGCACAAGGGTAATTGATGCAGAAGCTGTAGTAGTGCATAAAACCAACAGGCGTAGGGATGTTGATGACAGGACTGCTGAGAAGATCGTTGGTCGAGCCAGTCATGCTAGTCGGATTCTCCAAGGTGACGGTGATGTTGTAGATGGCGGCCTCTTTCCTGACGTCTTCGCAGTACGCGTACACTCCGAAGTAGTACGTCCCGGGTACAAACTCCGGGTCCAGGTGGCTGATGACAAAGTCCTCGACATTGTCCGACGTGGACTCGTAGTTGGACCACGTCAGATCGTAAATTTCCGGATTAACAGCCGGAAGTCTGCTCACATAAATGTCCGGAGTACCTTGCATGGCAGCCAACTGCACTCTCATGTCCATGCAGATCTGGCTCGAGTTTACGTCAAACTGGAAGTAGGAGTACGTGTTGCACAGCGTCTCTGCCGTCCTCGTTAGGTTGTGATACAGTTGAGTGTGCACCTGCGATGTGAGCCCCTTCCACAGTACAACCTTGAGATCCCCAAGATTGGCAGGGTTCTTGTAATCGTCAGCTGTCGGGAAGGCCTGAGCATCGAGATCGAGCTCTTTCACAGTAACTCCCCCCCCGGGGACCGCCGTGTCGTCGCCCTCGTTGACGGTGATGATGTACTCCTCGTCGCCATAGCCTGGGAAGGCGGGGAGAACCTTCATGCTGCTGGGCATGTACAGCCCGAACAGACCGCTGAACGTGCGCATGTTGATCCCGCCGTCCTTTGAACTCGCGTCGATTCGCACAGAAGAGTAGTTCTTCGCTCCAAGCCAGTGGACGGACACAAATTCCATCGCAGTCACGTTGAGCTTGGCTATGGCGTTGCTGCTTCTGAGCAAGACGTAGGCTATCTCCGAGTTGTTAGAGTACGCGATGTCCACTGGCTGCGGATCCGTTGCCAACCTTCCGGTTCCAGGGAGCTCGATCTCATCGTCCAGGATGACCTTGTCGAACACGAGGTTAATGGCGAGGCTTGAAACGTTGTTGTTGCCTTGGGCAGACACAGCCTGCAAAGCACCGGCCAGGCTGGAAAGATCCGAAGACACTGTGATTTCCGTCACGCCACCTGGCAGATCCACATTCTCCAGGCCTCTGTTGATTGGTGCATACTTGGCGTAATTAACCACCAAGAACCGCGACCCGGCAAACACGATCTTCTTCGGCCAATAGCCCGTGCTACTAAAGCCTAAGAATTTGAACGGTTGTAGCCCATCTTGTTTGATCTGATAGAACATGACGACCCCAGGAATGACTTCGGCCTGAACCTCGACGCTGCGCGTCACATCTAACGGATCGTACGGAACTATAGTCACGGCAAGGAGATTCCCCTGCACGTAGATGTCAGATGGAAACCCAGGTGTGAACACCGGAACAGTGGACCCAGGCTCGGCAATACCCGAAGAATAGTTTACTGCGCCCAAGCGCTGAAGAGTCAAGGATGTCCCCGCTGCCGTGCTGTTGATGAGGAACACCTCCATCCTCCTACCGAACTGATTCCCTACAAGAAGCAAGGGCGCGCCAAGCATCGAGCTGCTGGCGGGAATATAAGCTATGGAGGAATAGGAGGGCAAACCGTTGATTAGCCTGGCGCCAAATGGCACTCCATCACTTCCTACAGTCCCATCGAAGCGCGTTACCATAGTCAACCCTCCATCCGCGTTGACCTGATACACTAGCAGACTGGCGCTAAACCCACAGGTCACGTACAGATACGCGCTGCTAGAGAACTCTCCAAACTCTCCAGCCGCTGTGAAATACAATGCTTCAGGTTCAAGATCTTGAACAGCAAATTTTGTCCAAGACTTGAACACTGGCGCTGTCGCATTCGTGAGATTGTAAACCATTATTCCTGAGGGATTCTTCAATGCGATAAACAGAAACCTATCCTTCTCTTGATTAATTAGTCCAAACGCTAAAGCCCTGGGTTGACATCCCATTTCAGTACTCATGGAGTCAAATATCCCCGCACTGAACTGCTCTAACAGACCGGCGTTGATGCTTGCATTTTGGTTAATTATCCTCCGATGAAGCACCGTATCGTACTCCTCTTTCGTAAAACCTCTAGAGTTGAAATAGCTCGGATTAAGGGCAGAAATGTTGGCCTCGAAAGCGTCGCCGCTGTCCCACACCACATCCAACGTATCACTACTGAGTATTGAGAAAGATCGCCCGCCTTTGGCATACAGTTTGCTGTAAGTGTTGACGGCAACAGAAGGACAAGCCAATGAGAACAGGATCAAAATTATCATCATCAAGTGCAAGAAAAGAGTGTACTTTGATATCGCCATCGCCGCCGCAAATCGCCAAGCGGACAGCGAACCGCTCCCATCTCCGTCATAGCCACCATAGCCACTACAACGAGGAGCTTCACCATCGCCAAGACCACTGCTCGTCACAGCAGCAGCAGCCATGGCTCCTCCCACCGAAAGCCTATGCATACGTCTTCCTCCAATCACTCCCTTCCGACGATTTCCCATCCTGCTGCTGCTGCTGTTCCCTTTCACACGAGGTTCAGATCCGGACCGCTGCCAATCTCTCAACATCTTGAGCGACGATCCGGACCTGGACCTACAATACGCCGGGATCGATCTGTGGCCGCTCGGCGCGTCGCACGCTACCTGTGCGAGCGACGGCCGATTAGTTCGTGCAGCCACCAAGAAATCGAAAAGCTTCGACCTGTCGCACACTTGCCGCCCGCCCAAGCAGTGCTCTGTCCCCTTCGTCTCTTGTCCAAATATGTCCTCGACTATGTCGAAGGACACCAGGGTGGGTGGGCGGGAATTGTCACCTCGTCGATCAGTGACCGCTCGGCATGTCGCATGTTGTGTGCTGGCCGAGCACCTGTTCAAACTGTCCCACAGCCCGCCCAGGGTCCTGTCGCACTTGCCACCCACCAAGCAATACTCTCTCCTCCTCTTTCCCTTGTCGAACTATGTGCGCGGCTCTGTGCAGGAGCACACAGGTGAACATGCCATGCCGATCCGTGGTCGCACAGCGCACCGCCACAACCTGTGCGATGGGCGATCACTAGCTCATCCGTCAAGCCAACGAAAAACTGGAGAGACCTGTCACAGTCACACTTTTCGCCCACCCCAATCAATTTGTGTCCTCTTCCCCTTGTCGAAATACTGTATGTATTGAATTATGTTTTCGAAACTTGAAAAAAAAAAAAAAAAGACAACTGAAATCGCAACTATGCTGCAACTTGGAATCAGAGAGGAGTGGATGCACCAACTCTTCCGATCTAAGCGACAGCCGCTCAGGCTGTCACACAACTTGTGCGACAGCCGATCACATATTTGACCGTGCAGAAAAAAAAAAAAAAACATCGACGACGCATCACGCCTCTATCTAACTCAGTGCTCCTCTCCCACGTGTCGTAATGTACGGTGCCATTTGGCAATCCCGAGGGACACGTGGCAACACCCCGAGCTGCTGGTTTGCTAACAAGGAGAGCCCGTCTGTTACGAAGCCTTCTCGAACAGCGAGCGCATATTAAGCACAACGATCGATCGATCCATCAATCCAATCTATAAATTAGAGCAACTACGTGATATAGAGTGATTACACAGATGCTGCAGCTTCTGCAGGAATCAATGCCGAAGATTTTGAACCTCTAATTCGCCAAGTCAAAAGCGCCGACGTAACGAGAAATCCCCGGCCTCCTCAGGGGAGACTGCCCTGCTGATGAGCGACTTTCACTATCCCAAAAAACTCTTAACTACCAAAGCTTGGAGCCCTCCCCCCTCCCCTGACCATGTTTCCGAGCCTCCTCTCAGAGTCACGGTCACTTTCTCTTGCCAGCTCCCACCCATGTCTTCAGCGATGGTACCTTTACACCCAAAGCGCCACTTCCAGCACCACAGCCGGAACCCTCCCCAAACCTGATTCTGTTCAGCAGGCTGATCTGCAATACCGCTTTGGAGTGTCCGAACCTACAATCGAAGCTGCCACCCTCCCAAGGCTTTTGAACGGAGCTCATCGAGGTTGCCCTCCGGAGCTGCACCCGGATAGTCGCCGACACTACAATCGGCAGGCCAGCCTAGCCTCCAAACCTATCACCGACCCTCAAAAAAGTAGAGAGAAAGAGAGAGAAAGAGAGAGAAAGAGAAAGAGAGAGAGTGAGAGAATGAACGTCAGAGAATATTTGTTGTTCAGTGAAGAGAGCATGTCAAAGAGCGTAGAAGACTCGCTGAACTCTCGCAGACTCTGTGAGAGGGAACTACAGAGACATTTACAGACTAACAACGCACAAGGCAACAAAAAAGATCACGACACTATTACACCATTATCGTGAACGAATCGCCGCAATCTATACCTTGTTCACAGTAGCTTTCACTCACAATAGTCATGAGTTCGAGCCTGAGTCGGCGATAGGAGTTTTAGGTGTCAACAACAACAAAGTCATAGACCTATTTTAGCCGTCTACTTTGCATTCTACATGGAGAGGGTTAACTTCAAAATCATATCGGATACACAAACACCTGTCTCTTATACACATCTAGATGTGTATAAGAGACAGCAATAGTCATGAGTTCGAGCCTGAGTCGGCGATAGGAGTTTTAGGTGTCAACAACAACAAAGTCATAGACCTATTTTAGCCGTCTACTTTGCATTCTACATGGAGAGGGTTAACTTCAAAATCATATCGGATACACAAACACCCGTCAATGCATACATCAATCTGAAGAAGTGATGGCAGCTGGAGAAAATTAGAGCCAAGAGAACAGACCGAAGGGAAAAAGTTTCCGAACTACGAAACTGTGATGCATGATATTGACAAACTTCTAGAACACTCCAGACACTCTGACATTAGGTGTGCCCCGCCGTACGTCCGCTAAGATTATCGGTTGATGATAAGGACTCTCTCGGCAATTAAAGCTCTCTCGGTGATTTACGCTGAGATGGTGGGGCTTGGAACCGTCTAAACGACAATATCGAATACTGACAATAAGGACCAAATACAATGCATTGCCATCCCTGCGAAAGAGTTCCAGTAGACAACGAGCGACAGCAAACGACAAAAAACACCCACCCCCTGAATATTAGACTTCTGTCAGCGAAAACACAACACAGCCAGTAGAGTGGCCCTCACAACAGCAATCTACTTACATTTGTTTGCCTTTTGAGTGGATGAACATTGTGTTGTTGTTTTTTTCGTCCTCTTCTCCGTCTACAGGCAGTAGATCTTTTGTTTTTTTGCAGAAGGAAAGAACTCATCCATTACAGATTAGCATATATCCAACTTATCTGTTCAGCGCAAGATCACTTTTGAGAAGTCAACAGACACATTCATGCATAGGTCGATCTTCCACCACTACGGACCCCGATCGTCTCTCTCTCTCTCTCTCTCTCTCTCTCTCTCTCTCTCTCTGTGTGTGTGTGTGTGTGTGTGTGTGTGTGTGTGTGTGTGTGTGTGTGTGT